ATTCATGCTAATTAAATTTTTTTTTTTTATTTAAAACACAAATACATAATTTATCATGAATTAAATGTAGTATCAGTGAATGCATATAAAAATGGAATATTATAGTTACGAACCACACGATAAGTACAAGAAACCGAGTTTCTCTAGTCGGCAGCGCTCGTAGCAGAGTGGGTAAGATACTGGACTTATGTGGAGGAGGTCGAGGGTTTCAATTTGTTCAGTGAAAAGTGTTTTTTTTTTAAAGAATTGTAAAAGGAAAAAAATTCAAAGTCAAAGAAAAATTATTGTGGGAAAATAAAATTTGTTAAAAAATTAATTGCTTGGGAGTGTGAGGGGGAATGGTGGGTAAAGGTGTGCAGAAGAGTTACACGGCAGGATTGGGAGATATACATATATAGTGGGGACGTGTGTAGAGAACAGTAGGTGAGGGGGAGGGGGTAAGGGGGGAAACTTGAGAGGAAGAGACTTCTGATTCAAAAAAAAAAATCTGTCGGTTTTAAAATTCCAGCCCCCCGAGTAACGCGACATAAAGAACTTCGTTCTAAAAAAAAATTATCTTTTATGTATCTTTAGCGCATGTATCGAGCTTTCACAGATTTTCTATCGAGCATTGTATCTTACCGTAATTTTTTCTCTTTGAGTCAGAAACGTTACATTTAATATTTTCTTCGATAAACTGTTTTGCTTTGTCGGCAGCTATAAGTATCTACTTTTAATGAGTGACACTATTTTTCAGCTATTATTTCTCTGCAGGTACATAAAATTTCGAAACTCTATTCCAAATTTTTTCTATTTTGTTGAATAGAGAGAACAGTTGACTTGCTAACCTGAAATCTCCATGGGAGTATATACTTGGCTACTTTTTAACTACTTTTCGAAACTCTTCTAGGTTTTTTTTTGTTATATTATTTTTAATTTCTTTATTTTATTTCCTTTACAATTTTTTTACTGAGTCAATTACATATTAAATTGAAAATTTTACGGGAATATTTTCAAAGTTAAAGCATTATCATAACGTAATTTTTACTTGCTTTTGGATTGTAATGTTTGCGAATCTGGGTTACTACGACGCGTGAATAACGCAGGGTTGCGCAATGTGAGATTTTACGAGTCTGAATCTGCAAACAACGAGGAATGACTGTATTTACCTAGACATAAATACAGTTGTTACGATTCAACTTATTTGCTGTTCCATTTGTGCATATGAGCAAAGAAAATTCTCTATGAAAAACTCATTAAAATGGTAACACCTTGCAGAATAGCAATACCGTGAAGATAAAATATTGTTACAATATTGTATACTTGTAAGAAAGCTGGGATGTTTTCTTGAGTACTTTAATATATACTAAAGTTTGTTAATAATTTAATATTTGATAAGTCTATAAAAAAGTTGTACACGCATTCCCATAAAATAAATATAATTAAGTAAACAAATTAAAACAGTTGGTTCTACTGTATTTCAAATGATACATCTAAGAAAAGCCGGTGAAATCAATCAAATAATAAATGCTAAAGGCAACGCTGTGCAAATCCTTATTTACAACTATCTTTTTGACACTACCCGAAGCAAAAAAAATATTGTCGCTTTTTATATTAATTGCATAAAATTTGTGTCAATTTTAATGTGAGGGATTAGGTAACTCATACGATCCAGTGTTAGATATTGATGTTATTAATCGATGGGTATTAAGTATTATGTCAAATTATAATACATAGATCCCTTCCATCTAAATTGCACTATGTATATTTTTTATAGATCTTTACAGTGTTATCTTAATTTTCAATTTTCGTACATTTGTAAAGTATTACAAAAGACTACTTAATTATAAAATGTGCATGAACAAGATAGTATTTTTTCATTTCAATTTTTGGTTTTTAATATATCAACTTAAAATAAAATACTATATACTTCAATTTTTTGTAATTCAAATTTAAAAAGTTTCAGTCATCATCATGATTCCTGATCAAGACAGAATTGAAACATTTACTAAGAATTAGTCACACCATTTTTCGTAAAAATTTTGTGTAACATTGAAAGTTCACTGAAATTCCATGTTGAGTAAAACAAAAATCCTTGTCATCCTCAAACGTGCAACTATTGATTTTTAGTATAACGGGGGTTATCAAGACAAAATAGATTTTGGAAAAAATTTTCAGGATCTGAAGTTCCGGGATCAGAGAAAGGTGGAGCGATATAGATTCTAAAAAGAAAGGTTTTTTTGCACAATCAAGTAAAAGGTGAAATGTTGTTTTACTCCTCGATCATTTATTGATTTATGATTATTACTAGTCAAAATATGATAGTTACTAGTTAAAATTATCAGATGATGCTTTCGCACTGAATTCATACATTCTCATACGAATAAAAATAAAATTAAAAATTTACAACATTCAAGGTGCTTAACGACAACCAAGGGATTGACACAAACATTAAAACGCATACATTTTGGCAGTCATTCAAAGTTCTTTTCAACATTTCGAATCATCACCAAATTATCGCTTTTATTCATCACTTTTCGCTATAACTCTATCGCAGCATTTATCTTCACAACATTTTAAACGGATTTTACCGTACTATTTTTTACGCCTTCTCTCAGTCATTCATCACTCATACATTCTAGTTATACTTACATTTATTCATTTACAATCCCGTACCAAATTATCCTGCAGACTCCCCTAAAGACTGGGCTGTTTCAAATTTTCAAGAAAAAAACTTGTGTCCAAATCTAATTTATTGAAGGTGTATCAGCTATAACCACGACGTTTTATCATCCGGATGATATTGCCAAAACTGGGGAGTAAAAGTATTCTTAAACAATTTTTTTGAAATAAAATTGTTTTTTTTTTTCTAATTTACAGTTTTTCAATAATTGCTCAAAAATACTTTGATACAGTGATGGTTGATTCACCTTCAATAAACTATATCTGGACACAATTTTTCTTCTTGAGAGACAGCCCAGTCTACAGGATACTTTGGTATACGGGACTGATAAAGCAAAAATCACGAAATTAAAAAAAAAGAAAAAAACACGAGTCAACCAGAAAACTCTCGAACTTGGGATGCCAAACAATCCCTCTCCCTCACGTGGTCGGAAACAACCTTCTTTCAAAACAATCACCGTTCAAGCCTTCTATTCTGATCAAAGCCCCGTCAAACATGTTATTCTCCCTCCAAAACCTGAACCACAGTCAGACAACGCGATCACATTTGCACTCTTTCATCCTTCGCAAACGTTCAAAATCATACGCCTTAGACACACTCACTTTACATGCCATAACGCCACTCGGACGCGCCATAATAGCCCCCACTCGGACTACTTTTCTCTCCGTAGTTTGGCAGATCTGCCCTTGGGCCTCTTCGTAGGCTTGGTAGGGGTTGGCTTAGCAGTGCTGGTAGTGCTGCTAGGGCCGTCTGCGCTGCCGCTGCCACCGCCTCGATTGTCGCACGGGTCCGATCCCGAATCTCGGGCGTTAGGATCGACGCTGGGCCCTGCTGGGGGGCTCTTGGTGCTGGGGATCTCTTTTGGTGGCTCGTAGACGGAGCTTGGCGGCTGGAGGGGTGGAGGCGTTGCCGGTTGCTGCTGCTGTACACCACTGGCTCCCGTAACGATCGTCGGTAATCTGTTCTCTGGAGCGAGGGTGTGGCTCGGTTGGACGACGATCGGGCTGTTGAAGGACAAAGATGCAAACATTTGGTTTACTGGCAAATCACACATGGACTATCGATACACATTTAACTTTGAAGAAGCGCGACTTTTTTATTATTTATGTTCAAAAGAGAGATGCTGGATGGAAATTGCGATGTCACGGGACTTTTGGCATTTTTCTTGGGAGTTAAAATAAATAATAATCATTTGTATCTGTCATTGGCACAAAATGTACGGTTAACGTGGTTTCAAAACGTCCCAAGAGCTTTCATTTTTTCAACTGCTTTCCTAAAGCCACCAATGGCGTAACTCAAATAAATTAACTTGAGTCTAAATATCTGAATAATTTTCAAGACACCTTATTTTATTATCTTCAAAAGGTCGTAAAATGTCGCTTAAGTCGCCATACTCAGTCATTTTGTGGCATAACAATGATATGGGTACCTAATTTTATAGACACCCTTTTATCCAACGTTTGTATCGGGAACAAAAGGAATTAGCCAAAAATTTTCATTCAATTAATTAGTGGAATCCATCTAATTTTGTAGTTTGCAAGGTCTCATAACGAGGCAATTATTCGTACGAAATTCAGGATGAGAAACACCGAGTGATAAATAAATCAAAGACATCCCACGTCAAAACACGATAAAATGTAAAACACCAATTTTCCTCACTATTTTGTATACCGACCTGCTGGGCGCAATACTTTCTGGTTGGCGTCCCTTGAAGCTGCTCTGGCCATCGTCGTAGACGTACCGAAAGTTGCCATGCGGGCACGGCTGGAAGATCTCTGGCCATCGGTGGCTAAATATCGGCCCATTCGACTGGCCTTGCTGTTCGTACCTCGTGTCAAAGTCTCCGCCCGAGAACTCAACTTCGACCGGCTGTCTGTGTTCCTGGGCAATGTACCTCGGGACTTTTGGGGCCCTAAAGTGGTTTTCCTTTTGGACAGCGAATATGAGGCGGACTGGATCTGCCGTCGGGACGGGCTGGGGGTTGGCTGGCTGGTACTCCTCCGGTAGCGCGGGACCTGCAATTCGAGGTCTTTCGTTTGAACACGTTTATTTTGGCTCTTTTGTACTCGAAAACGATTATGGAAATCTTATTTCCCGCGAATTGGAAGGAAATCGGAGCTTCGAAATTGTTGGTAAAAAATAGGGCTGTTTGGGAAATATGTTACCATTGATATTTTATTTAAGGTATGCTAAAATAATTAATGGGAAAATCCTTAAATTTGTTGTTTTAAATTGCGAAAAGAAGAGATTTTTTTTTCAGTTAACGTTTTCTCATTGTAGCTATTCATTTCCGTTGAATAAGCACTTTTTGAAAACTTCATATTTTTTAATAGCCATATTGGAAATCAAAAGTAATTCCAAACATCGATTTTACAACAAATAGTTTTCTCTTTGATGTAAAACTAATGTTGTTTTATCGTGATGTATTGAAAAAAGCTTGGGAAAAATACTAGGCTTCATGTGATTTTTTTTTTTTCAAGCAAGTAATTTTAAAGCACCTTGAATCATGATTGATGGAGTAAAATTTAAAATTTAAAAAGTTAAATAACCAAACGAGTTGTGCGTATTCACGAAATCAGGAAGGAAAAGTTGATGTCACCGCAACCTTGTTTAATTAAAAGTGCTGAGTACGAAAAAATTACTGTTAGCGTGAAAATGAGATCGAGCAATAACAGATTGAGAATACAGTCTTACAAAGCCGGAATTTCAAAAGTTTTCAACGTGCCTTTACATGTTGCTATGAAAATTAATCAAAATATATACATCTATATGTATTGCAAACGATATAAAATCAAACTTTCAAAGTTAAACAGTTGTTATTTGGATGCATTTTTATATCTTACGTTTTAATTTTATAACCATATTAAAACTAAAAATTAAATACCGAAATCCTCGGTGTGTTATTATAAATATGTATTGATTAGTTATTGAAATGCCAGAATAAATGGAGGATATGTGTACATGAATCATTTCTTCATACTTGTTTCGAAAGGTGTAATTGTCACTAAACTTTCTGTTGTGACGATTGAGAAACAAAATTTTTCAAAGATCAAATAGGTTAATTTTTTTTTTTTGCAACAAAGAGTATAAAACTCATCAGTTGATTGGCTATTTGTAAGTAAGCAATAATCGAATTTGTTTTACAATCCAAACTTGTATTATTCAAATTAGTCGATTGAGATTAAAGTAACCCAATTCGTAAGAAGCCTTCGATTCATTAATAAAAAAAATTGGAATCAACATGGTGAGAGCGTGTCTTGAGAAAAAAAAAATTACTGTGCTATATAATAGTGATCTGGTATTATTCAAGCGTCTGTAGATTTTTTTACTTTTGGCAACTTAATTCTCAACACGTGATAGATAGTGGTTTCTTTTGTGAAAACGGAACAATACCAAATTACCAGAGTAGCCTCGTTATTATAATTTTTTCCCTCTAACTGTGAGACTCAGAAAAAGCATCTTTTTCAAATTAAATTTCAAAATAACCTCATGATTTCTACGATCGCAAATTCCATATTCAACGTATTCAATTAATAAAAAGTTTATAAAAAACAAAAACATCTCAAGTCAAATGAAAATAGCTGGTTTCAATCTAGTCGAGTATTCGAACTATTAGACCATTATTATTGGACCTACAAATTTTCATTCAAACCGTTGAATACGTTAAACAGAAACGCCAAACTCGTTTTCAAGCATGCGATTAGTTTCCAATCTACTTTGAAAAAGACAAAAACCATTTTGACAGTCACGAAAGAATAAAAAAAAGCAAAAAACACGAAGGTCCAAACGAAAAAGCATTTAACGCCACTGGACTGCATTATCGTTAGTAAAAATTCTCCNTCCCTAAGGTTTATTTGCAGTTTTACGTAAGAACTATGGCACAACATAATATAAAATTGTACTATAGTGAGTATGAATTTTTTCAATATTTTTTTCGAAATGTATTTTCGAGAAAAAATAAATCATTCAATTCCACAATTTAACATAAGCTCTTCTGGGAATCACTAATTGATTTATTTTAACTTTTTAAATGATTTTTCGTGTGATTTTTTGTATTTATTTATCAATTATTTTTTGAAAGACAACTTACTTTCAATTAACTTATTTTTAACAAATTTTTTTCCAATTTTGGAATTAAATAACTTTTTTTCTCGAAAACACATCTGGAAAAAAGTACTGAAAAAATTCGTGCACACATGTAATTTTCTTAAAAAGAACGTACTTTTTTTTAGCGTTATCTAACATTTTTTTTTTTTTTTGGCGAAATCTCCTTATATAATTGCACTGAAGTAGCAATTTACATTCAATGACAAACGTAACGATTTGAAAAATAAAGCAGTGTGTCAGCTAAATAGGTAAAAATCAATTGAATTTTTTTAAAAATATTTAATAGACTATATTTCGTTATCATAGTAGAGTTTATACTTGTTTGTCGTATTGATGAGGCTCACTAAACTGTGATTACTTTCTCCAAGGGATTCGTTGTAAATAATTATTAATTTGCGGAGGGTACAATATAATGTTTTTTTGAGTACACCTGTAACTTTTGTAACATCTATGTATTATATACTATCTTATCCTATCGTTTCAGCGTCAATATTTCCCTGAAAATCAGTAAATCATGGCTGGAGACCGGGTCTAAGGGCAAAAAGTCTATAACAAATAATTCCACAGAAAACGATAGCTCTTCATCCTCTTCTTGAACATATACAATTTATAACAAACCACCTATTGCCAAATATGTAAAAAGAAATCATCAAATCTTAAAAATCATAGTAGACCTTAAATACAATGACACTAAAATGTTGCCTACCAAACTAACATAAACCAAAAATTTTTTACTCACGAAATGGAATAAATTCACTAAATTAAATAAATATACCGAACAACAGAAACCTGAATAATTAAGAAATATAAGAACATTTACAAAAAAACGAACACGAGTACAAAACAATTGAAAAACTAGTGCCCAACTTTGAACCAAATAATATTGTGCAGAAATGTAATATGCAAAAAATAAATAAACTATGAAAAAAAAATCTCATGACTTTTCTCATTCAAAAAACAATGCAAACATCACAATCTCAATGACTTTCGTATTAATCGAAAAATAAAAGCTACAAATACACATACCAATCGATTAGGCTATAAAATCAAAAAACAATATTCTACTGTATCCGTCAATTTTTTGTCAATTAAAACTAAATTAATAAACCATAAGAATATCGAAACTTTCTTCACACAATCACATAACATACTTATATAGACAAAAATTAAAAAAGTGTAGAAACAATACATACATAGAAGATGAAGCTTCGAACGTACAAAAAATTTAAATTAAGGTAACAAATACATTTAGCTCGACATTTAGTGTTCTTTCATACAACCGTTACCAAGTAAGTGTAGTCCTAAAACATACGACTTTCAAGAAAAGTTAAGGCAATTTATGCGAAGTAAATGCACATCTAGAAACAAAAAATGAAATAAAAAAAAAGTTGTAACAAAAGAAGAATAACCCAATTTAGTGACGAGAATTTTAACTAGTCATCCACTAAATTGAACATCAACGTTTTATAGTCTCTCAGAAATATTCTCAACATTTCAAAACCTTAGCAATAAATCTTAGTAGGGATAGACAAAGTATCAAACAATATCCTATAAAACATTACCACTGAAAGTATAATGAATCACACAAAAATACTTAATATCAGTATCAATAACCCTATAAGCTCAAAAATATAAAAAATAGCTCCAACTGTAAAAAAAAAAAAACATTCTGCAAGTACAAAGTCTTTACCAATTACCCTTTTTCAACTACTGCTTCATTAGAAATAAAATATTTTCTCATTTTATATATTTTATTTCATTGGCTAGTCATCAACTTGTCTTTAATTTTTAAATTAGTAACTTTAACTATTGCTTTTAATCAGAACTATACGTTTACTAGGAAAACATTAATTTAATTTTCACTGATGCAGCTTTACAGAGTATGATATAAATGTAGTATCGCAAAAGTATTTTTTTTCCACACATTTTCACTGAAATTGAAATTGTACTACTATTTCTCTGAAGAAAATATGACACAGTTCCTTCTTGGCGAAAAATTGCATTAATTGGTTGTAGAAAATTATGTTGATAATATCTTCATAATGACCAATCTAAATTACTGTTGAGCAATAAATTTAAAAGAATTAAGTTGTAAGTAAAAAAGCATTGTATTTTCTGTGGAAGGAAACAAAAATTATATACATAACTCGGAAGGACAAAAAAAGTTGCTTCTCGAATTTTTTCTACTCTCATCTTCAATACAAACATAAAATACGCCTAGAAAAAAAAGTATTTCCCACAGAAAAATAAAGAATAAAAAAAAATATGAACCCTTTAAGATTTCTTGTTGCAAGTAATATTTTTGTATTTTTGGAAGTAAGTGATTCAAGTAACATTAAATAGTATCGAAATACCTTTCACAAGTAAAAATTTAAATAAAATATATCTTACGTTTTAATTTTATAACCATATTAAAACTAAAAATTAAATACCGAAATCCTCGGTGTGTTATTATAAATATGTATTGATTAGTTATTGAAATGCCAGAATAAATGGAGGATATGTGTACATGAATCATTTCTTCATACTTGTTTCGAAAGGTGTAATTGTCACTAAACTTTCTGTTGTGACGATTGAGAAACAAAATTTTTCAAAGATCAAATAGGTTAATTTTTTTTTTTTGCAACAAAGAGTATAAAACTCATCAGTTGATTGGCTATTTGTAAGTAAGCAATAATCGAATTTGTTTTACAATCCAAACTTGTATTATTCAAATTAGTCGATTGAGATTAAAGTAACCCAATTCGTAAGAAGCCTTCGATTCATTAATAAAAAAAATTGGAATCAACATGGTGAGAGCGTGTCTTGAGAAAAAAAAAATTACTGTGCTATATAATAGTGATCTGGTATTATTCAAGCGTCTGTAGATTTTTTTACTTTTGGCAACTTAATTCTCAACACGTGATAGATAGTGGTTTCTTTTGTGAAAACGGAACAATACCAAATTACCAGAGTAGCCTCGTTATTATAATTTTTTCCCTCTAACTGTGAGACTCAGAAAAAGCATCTTTTTCAAATTAAATTTCAAAATAACCTCATGATTTCTACGATCGCAAATTCCATATTCAACGTATTCAATTAATAAAAAGTTTATAAAAAACAAAAACATCTCAAGTCAAATGAAAATAGCTGGTTTCAATCTAGTCGAGTATTCGAACTATTAGACCATTATTATTGGACCTACAAATTTTCATTCAAACCGTTGAATACGTTAAACAGAAACGCCAAACTCGTTTTCAAGCATGCGATTAGTTTCCAATCTACTTTGAAAAAGACAAAAACCATTTTGACAGTCACGAAAGAATAAAAAAAAGCAAAAAACACGAAGGTCCAAACGAAAAAGCATTTAACGCCACTGGACTGCATTATCGTTAGTAAAAATTCTCCCCACTCGTGTTAGTCCACAGCAAAAGTTGGAAAAGGATTTGTTTGGATGTGTTTGAAAGCAAATGAGTGATAAATGAAAAACAACAGCTGCAGTATCTGTTCACATGTGCTTCAAGAGGCGTTTATTTTTCGTTCAAATATCCAGATACACTCGTGAGTCCAATTGAAACGATTAAATGAAAATTTAAAAAAAAAAAGAGAAGAAAAAAAAACAGTACAAGTCGAAAGAGGGAAGTTTTCGTGCACCCCGCAACAAGTACACGAACGCTCACTCTCAGCAGCGGCAACAGCAAAAACACATTATTACACAGACACACGAGGCAAGTATAAGCAACTCGTCGAAAAAGCTACTGATGCGCACTCGCGACCCCACAACCACATACGTCACCCATCGATTTAATTAGCAATCCTCGTAAGCGACCACGCCATGGCAATTGAGAGGGACGTATCCTTTAGCTTGCGAACCTTCATTGTTGTCCTGGTAACTCCGAACGGAGTCGTCGCAGGGTGGCTCGTTCCTCGTGGCGGTGGTACTTGCGACGGTGGTCGTCGTGGTGGTCGGAGCGGCGACAACCACCGGTTGACTCATCAATCGAGCTGGAGCCGCAGCTGGAGGTGGGGGGGCAACCTGATACGCGTATTCAAAGGCTGGGGGCATGGCGTAATTATTGACTCCAGCCACTGCAGGATTGTACGAAAAAGGCCCGTGGACCGGCATCGGGTAGGCCGATGACAGTGGGTAGACCGGAGCCGGACCGTACTGCACGAAGCTCGTCTGGGCCGGGGAACTGTAAACTACAAACGGCACATGGATGAGTACGTTCGATGTTTGTTGATGATGCTTACGTGGCATCTTTTACACACATCTACATGTATAGGCATATATATATATATACACGAGACTCACCTGGTTGTGCTGAGATCTGCATGGGTTGTTGAGGGATCATGGATGGAGGACCGTAGGAGTAGCTTGGACCGAACGAGTGAGAGAAAGGGGGTGGGTTGATCGGTACTGCCATCGGGGTAAATGGGGCGGCTGTGCTTGGCTCAGGACTGGAGGTGCTCGGCTCTATTACGGCCGGGGCCTCGGTCGTGGGAGGTGGCGGTGGGTTGTAGTTGTAGGTGGGCCTGATCGGTTGCTCGTACACCTTCTCGACCTTGACCGGTCGGGCCAGGTCGGGTGAGCAGCCGATTATGTCTTTAAAGCTGGCCACTGGTCTCACAGCCAACCTCGGGCCGATGTTTTTGGGAGCTCTGAAATTAAAACGACAATTGCAATTTTTTTGCTGTTACGTATAGCAAAGATCGTGCATTGGATACTTTGAACGTCCCAATAATTTGTTCGGGCACTGACAACTTTTATACGTATATATTTTCTAGGGGTGATTTGGATCCTTGCCATAAAAAAAAGTGAAAATGAAAATAATTCATGTGATCCAGTGAGTAGGGTAAAGCTCTCGAAAAATATGCCTATGAATCTCGTATAATTTCGCTGCAAATCTGAAAATATAGAAAATACTGACGAGGTGGGGTGTAATCGAGCATGTGGGGAGCAAAATTGACTCTTCCCTTCTCCCGTACAGTCTGGTCAGTCTATTTCCGATGATTTCTACCTTTTTTTGGAAACCTAATCTTTTTATTCTCATCGAAATTTTTCCAAAGGATTTTCGTAAGAATATTTGCAAAATGTTCTTAGGGGTTCCAGCACAAAGAGTAAAAAAAAAAAAAAAAACTTCCGTGTCTTGCAGGAAAACATTTGGCAGAGGTATATCGTCTATTTCCGATGATATTATTCCAATAAAAATATCGAAATCGTAGGGGGCTCAAAGATTTCATATTTAATGGGTAAAAAAAAAAATGACACAAACGCCCCGCTGACTGAACGTCTTTAAAAATACCCCACGGGGTCCAAAAGCAAGAATGGCGCAGGAATTTGAACGAGAATCCTTAAGGTAATTGCCCCAGGAAATTCGGATAAACGTAACAATTTTTACGCGAAATGTAAAAACAAACAACCGGGTAACTTTCACACGAGTGCACCATGGCTTTCTTTGTAAGCCCAATCGTTGGAGCATAAAAAATACCCCATAATTTTACAGAAAAGTATAAGAAAAGTGACAATCCTTACTCAGTTACTGCCACGTATTTCAAGATACTGGGTCGTACTGCTGCCACAGCTTGAGGTAAATACCCGGTGGCAGGTTGCATTTCTTGTACAGCGTACAAAGTCTTGTAGGGACTGGAGCGTTGGCAGTTGCACACGTTTCCGCAGTTGGGGCAATCGGCGTCGGCGCCGAGGACGAGCAACAGCAGGGCCCAGCCAACGAGTGTCCAGGTGATCTTCATTTCGGGGCGAGAGTGAGCTTCGGAGGGCGGATCGGAGACAGGAGTCCAATATGTCTGTGGAGTTGCGGGACCTGTTGTTCTCGGGAGGAGACGAGCACTGGTTGTCGATGCTGGGTGACCGGTGCCGGGGCCTTTTATACGGGCCGATGGAGATTTGTTTTGGCCGGTGGTTGCTCGTCGCGTGTAAACACCGCGAAACGTGATCGTTGAAACGCGGAAGCGACGGCGACGGTTGCAAGCAGGAAGATTTTTTTCACGTGGCCGCGCTCCATAGCGCCGGCAAGGTGGTACGGGGAATTTTACTTTGTTTGTTTGTTGAGCTTTGTTTTTCTGATCAAGTATGATTATCGTCCCGGTTAATGGTGATTTTAAATATTATTACTTCTGCGTTGTAATTATGAAAAAGGGACGTGTTCCGACGAGCGGTTGGTTCGAAGTTTGGTGAAAAAAGGCAGAAGATGCTCGTGAAATGAAAATTGTGAGCTAAACGATTCATGACATCGTTGGCTATTAAATGCCACACGTATAATACAAGCGTGTTTCTGTTTAATCGCTTCAAGCACCATTCATTGTTAAGCTTTCGTGGTGACGAGAAATTTTAAATTGTCAATCGATGTACACTCAAGACTTGGGATGATTTTCCTTTGATTTTGTGATTTTACTTTGGTTTTAATTGCATCACTTTATATAGCATTGAAATCCCTAAGGTTTATTTGCAGTTTTACGTAAGAACTATGGCACAACATAATATAAAATTGTACTATAGTGAGTATGAATTTTTTCAATATTTTTTTCGAAATGTATTTTCGAGAAAAAATAAATCATTCAATTCCACAATTTAACATAAGCTCTTCTGGGAATCACTAATTGATTTATTTTAACTTTTTAAATGATTTTTCGTGTGATTTTTTGTATTTATTTATCAATTATTTTTTGAAAGACAACTTACTTTCAATTAACTTATTTTTAACAAATTTTTTTCCAATTTTGGAATTAAATAACTTTTTTTCTCGAAAACACATCTGGAAAAAAGTACTGAAAAAATTCGTGCACACATGTAATTTTCTTAAAAAGAACGTACTTTTTTTTAGCGTTATCTAACATTTTTTTTTTTTTTTGGCGAAATCTCCTTATATAATTGCACTGAAGTAGCAATTTACATTCAATGACAAACGTAACGATTTGAAAAATAAAGCAGTGTGTCAGCTAAATAGGTAAAAATCAATTGAATTTTTTTAAAAATATTTAATAGACTATATTTCGTTATCATAGTAGAGTTTATACTTGTTTGTCGTATTGATGAGGCTCACTAAACTGTGATTACTTTCTCCAAGGGATTCGTTGTAAATAATTATTAATTTGCGGAGGGTACAATATAATGTTTTTTTGAGTACACCTGTAACTTTTGTAACATCTATGTATTATATACTATCTTATCCTATCGTTTCAGCGTCAATATTTCCCTGAAAATCAGTAAATCATGGCTGGAGACCGGGTCTAAGGGCAAAAAGTCTATAACAAATAATTCCACAGAAAACGATAGCTCTTCATCCTCTTCTTGAACATATACAATTTATAACAAACCACCTATTGCCAAATATGTAAAAAGAAATCATCAAATCTTAAAAATCATAGTAGACCTTAAATACAATGACACTAAAATGTTGCCTACCAAACTAACATAAACCAAAAATTTTTTACTCACGAAATGGAATAAATTCACTAAATTAAATAAATATACCGAACAACAGAAACCTGAATAATTAAGAAATATAAGAACATTTACAAAAAAACGAACACGAGTACAAAACAATTGAAAAACTAGTGCCCAACTTTGAACCAAATAATATTGTGCAGAAATGTAATATGCAAAAAATAAATAAACTATGAAAAAAAAATCTCATGACTTTTCTCATTCAAAAAACAATGCAAACATCACAATCTCAATGACTTTCGTATTAATCGAAAAATAAAAGCTACAAATACACATACCAATCGATTAGGCTATAAAATCAAAAAACAATATTCTACTGTATCCGTCAATTTTTTGTCAATTAAAACTAAATTAATAAACCATAAGAATATCGAAACTTTCTTCACACAATCACATAACATACTTATATAGACAAAAATTAAAAAAGTGTAGAAACAATACATACATAGAAGATGAAGCTTCGAACGTACAAAAAATTTAAATTAAGGTAACAAATACATTTAGCTCGACATTTAGTGTTCTTTCATACAACCGTTACCAAGTAAGTGTAGTCCTAAAACATACGACTTTCAAGAAAAGTTAAGGCAATTTATGCGAAGTAAATGCACATCTAGAAACAAAAAATGAAATAAAAAAAAAGTTGTAACAAAAGAAGAATAACCCAATTTAGTGACGAGAATTTTAACTAGTCATCCACTAAATTGAACATCAACGTTTTATAGTCTCTCAGAAATATTCTCANCTATTATTTTTAATATTTAGATACTCTCAAAAGTGATAATTCACCTCTTATAATTAAAAAATTGTGTTCTCATACATGCAAATAACATTGTCATATACTGTCCCACTACTACCACATACAGTGTCCTACTACTGCCGTAATCCTCAAAGGCTATGTCCCACTACTGCAGATTTCACGACTTATTTGAAAAATTATTTAATTAAACGGATAATGATAAGCACAGTCCATAAATATTGTTTCCTTAAGTAAAGACCTATATTTGCAATTTAAAAAAAAATTTAGGTTAATTAGCATTGGTGGAACTTCAAAAATAAGGGACAAATATTTTTTGCTTAAAAAAGTGTCCGACTATACCCCATTTTACCTTATTAAATTATTACTTTTATTGATAAAACTATCGCACGATTTTGTTTCATCTTTTCAATCAGAAGTGTGAATCGTCAGCTGAATTTATTGTAACTAGAAGATTTACCATTAAAAGACATTGAATCAGGTATTTTTAATTTTACCTCGATACTATTTTAGTTTTTACCTGTAAATTTTGATTAATTATTGATCGATTAGTCCTACTAGTTACACAATGATCTTACAGTTTACGCCACTACTGGTCACTCATCAAATTTTTACAATGTTGTTTTACCGCTATGTTATGGTCAGATCATTACAAAATATATATTGTATGAGGTAAATAATTAGTAAGTAATCATACAAATCAAAGATAAGCATTGCTTACACTTTTTACTCTTAATTATTGAGGGAAGGGGTTTTATAATAGTTCAACATAGTACGATTTTCGTACAAGTTTTCTTAAAAACATAACATTAAAATAGTAGATGTTGTACCTGGTGGCACCAGTCACACCGCATATCACAGTTTTTAGTTCAATGTTTTTTATTTTTAATTAGTCGCATTGAATTGTAGGAATAATTAAATTTAAAGTAATTAACGCAATGAAAATGATCTGGAGTTCTTCTATTTAATTTATTTAAATATGTTTTTTTAATAGTCAGACAAGACAAGAAATTTTATTTAATAAGAGTGACATGAGAGTGTACGTAGCATGTATTTATTTATTAAAATTTTTTATTACCATCACCACTTTCTCTTGTACTATTTAAATTAAAGTTCTTTTAAAAAAGTTTGAAAAAAGTTCTATTAAAAAAATTAACTTATTAATTAATTTTCAATTAATTATTGACAATAACATATATACATTTGCAAGAAGGTATTTGTATATAGAATGAGTATAGTAGATGTAATCATGGAATTAATAATAAATATTTTATTTCATACTTACAAAAGTAGTCACAAAAATAATTGAATCGTATGAAGTTTATTTTATTTATTTCTAATACTATGAATCTGACGACAGCAGGATATTGCAATATTAAAGTATGACTCCAACGGCAATGCTGTCCAATGGTCTTTATTTATTTATTAAAGCAAAGTTTCGGATACTTTAGAATGAGGCCCTTTTCAAGCACTATAAATTTCATACAAATTATGACAAGATTAATAAAAAGGTAAAGGTTCTTTAAAAATTAGTAATAAATTTTGTGTATCAAATTGTCTATTCAAGTTATGGATATTTCTACTTATGTGTATCATTTCTAATACCTCACGCCTACTCTTTACATTTTCGACATCTAAAATCTGTACATTACTATATTCAAAATCTATATTGTATCCTGAATCTTTAACATGGTAATATAATGCAGATCTGTCGTCTTTTTTCTTAACATCTGCTTGTACAGATATTTTTCATTGCTTATCATTGCTGTCCCACTACTGCATCTTTTTTTTTTAAACTAAGTAGTAGTGGGACAAGTACTTGACAAGACCAAATTCTATTTTTAACGACTGTGATTTCATGCTTTTTATTAAAGTAATCGTGAGAGTGTCATCAGTCTAATCTTTAATAGTAAAATTAAACTAAAACATATTTGTAGGATTAGTAGTTGATTGAATGAGAGCATTGTTATTATATTAATACAAGTCAACTCAGTTTATTTTAATTCACTTAGTTTTAAACATGATGTAGAACTTTATCAAACATTTTCTTATTTTTTTAATTATCTATATAGTCCGATTTATTTAATCTAAAGATGCTTGCTCTTCTTCTTAGCACCATTAGACATATACATCATTTTCTCGTCATCTCGTTTTACTGTTGCAATTTTATTTGATGTTGGATTGTTTTTTTGTTCCTGTAATCTCATTTTGTATTTTTTTATTGGCTTTGTAATATTAATTTTTTTTTTAATGACTTATTGTATAAATTTATTTTACTTTTATATCCCATGTTTTTGTTCAATTTATTCTGGTAATCTTATTTAAAATAGTAAAACATTTTAAGTATTAGTGAAATATCTTAAGTATTTTTATTGCTCACCATTGTTTTTTATTTTATTGAATAATTACTTTTGCAGAATATGATTTTTAGTTCGACTAGTTGTTATCGTAATTATTGGTAATTATTGAATCATAAATATTTAACTGCTATTTAGCTGCTACAGACTCTCTTTGTCCACATATATAACAATTGATATCGATATTTACCAGGTAGTCAATGATGTTCAGATGATCGTTTTTTATTTTATCATATCAAAAAGATATAAATAAATCCAAAGTAA